TACGGGCATTTTATAGCATTAACAGGATAAACGGACCGAATAGCAAATGATACCATCCCGAACAGAAAAGGGTGCTATTTTTCTATGCAAAATATTATAATATGTTGCGTGCGGGAGAGTGTTTTTCAGCATCGGAATTTTTTAGGATAATGTTTTTCAAGATATATCCAACATCCTCGTAATAGAAATTGAGCTACTTTGTTGGTTTTGCAACCCTGCTAGGAAACATTGTTGTTTACACCCCCCTTTTTATGCTCTCCGCCCTGTGTAAGACCAAAATGATCTGGACAACTTCCAACGCCAACCCTACACTCCTCATGCTCGACCGCAATCTCGGTTCGAAAAAATGAGAAACAGATGCGGACCGACACGCCGGGCACGCCACCAGGCCCATTATCGTCGAATGTGCTGTCGGGCCGGCCGGGGCGGTGGAGGGCGGCGGCGGGGGTGCTTGGATGCTCTTTTTGAATTCCTTCAGCGATGCGGGTGGATGGGAAGGGGGTGGTGAAGCTTGGACTCGCAGGGGGGCGCCACCAGATATTTGCATACGCGTCGCTCAGCGTCGGCTCCCACACACGCCTCGTGCTAAAGGAATTCGGGGCTGGGCTCTCGCAAGGAGCGGGGCTTGCAGGGCAAATTTGGGGCTGTTTTGTATTAAATCTGGGGTGTTTTGTTTGGATGTAAGGTGTTGGATTTCATCCTGCACGACCACTTGGAGTAGTATTCTGTAATTTTCCCAGCTATCCTTTGTCGGTCTAAAGTAATTTTTCTGTTTGCTATTTTTAAAATTATTTTGTATGATACAAAAGCTTTGCGGACCGTTTTGAATATTTTCCCATTTTTTCGTTATATATTTTACTTGAGGTATTTATTCTCATTTTCTATTTTTTCGAAAAGTTTCTAAATCCCTGTACAACCCTTTATGCCAAGTTTAACCCGCATCTTATACTTCAGATTCAGAGGTGTTTTATTGCGCGATAAACCATCCACTATACTAAACGTATTACATAGGCCATCTCCCCCACCCCGACACGTCATTTCCCATCCTATTCATCCATCCAATATCTTTCCACTTATAACATCACCTATCCAGCCCTATTCATCTCCTCTCATCTCCTTCTCCATCTCACCCTCCCCTCTCCATTGTTTACCACATCCGCATCCCCCTCGAAGTCAGCATTAGTTCTTTATAGTCTACCCCTTGCCGCATATCAAATTAATTCATCCAAAAACTCCAAAAGGCTACTCCGTTTCCATCCACTTCACCGTTCCCTTTGCCTTTACCCCCGGAGGCTATAGGTGCCTATTTTGGAAAATGGATTAGCGACGGGCGCCCATAAATTTCCTCCTAACTGGCCGGGAATTTCGGGGTGGGGGGCTAGGCTGGGAGAGGACCAAGAGGTAGACGAAGGAGGGCCGTTTCTCGTGGATCAAAAAAAAGGAAGGGCCCTGCTTCGGAAGAGGGGTAGACACCGTCATCTCCTTTTCCGAAGAAGAAGGCTGGAGACGTTAGTTCCTTGCAGAGGAGGAGCAGAGGGGGCCCACCTGTCCGATTTCGGGGGGAGTGGTCGTCTTGACGGCTCTGCTGCAATATTGTTAGCTTGGCTAGACCTAGAATTTTCAAAAACCATCAGATCGCCTAATTTTTTTTTCTTACAACGATAACAGTAGAATTAATGTTAATTGATGCCAGGTGCATAGGGGAGCGTTCAGGTTACCCTCCCTTAAACTTGCTTTTTTCAAGAGAAAATGAGTTTTTGGGCGTTGTTTTTCATGTCAATATTTCCATGCGGTGCACTTATTTAACATTGCTTCTCAAAAATGTCCATGGCTCTTGTTCATTAAATTCCAGACATTTTTTTTTCAATTTTGAACCCTGGGTTTGTTTATAAATGCATCTTTCTTTTCAAAAAACGTGTTCATAAAAAGTGTTGCGGGGAAGAGAGTAAACAACGTCACTATAGCCTCGTAAAATCTCGAAAGCCGGTCGCTTTAAATTTATATACCTCCAAATTTGCACACGTTCGATTCGATCGAGCACGACTAATCTGCTTTGTGTCTAGGTGTGTACCGTGTAGAGGGCAGCACCGTCTCTCTCTCTCTCTTTCTCTCTCTCTCTCTCTCTCTCTCACCCTATGTAGTCAGTAATCCGTCCCTCGCTGGCCGTTCGGTTTGTCCGCAACAAAGGGCGGAAATTGGCTATTCCACAGCACTTCTCCGAACGCCCCTTGAGTGGCGGCTACCCAGTACGAATTACGGTCTCAAAACTTTAGCCGTTGCTGTGTGCAACCGATTGCAGCACTTTTAACGCCCGCTATAAAGTGTCCATTAACTATGTGGGGAGCGGGAGAGAGTGGTGCATTAAAACACGCTCCGCTCGACGACAGGCGTTTACGGTGCCTTTAAACGAGGCTACCGGATGGGTTTACCGCCTGACAAATTGGACTGGGATCTGGGGGAAGAGGGAGAAGCTGTTTTTCGAGTGAAAACCGGGGGGAATGAGGGTGGGCGAAGTGGTTTTAGATGTTTTTTGGTTAGGTCCAAGACGGACGGTTACAAAGAGGGTTTTTAGTATTTTTCAGGATGTCTCACAGGATTTTTTGTTATCTACCTAAGTGAAACCGCGTAGAATTCCCAAAATTTCAATTTTAAAAATAAGGTGTATTCTTTAAAAAATCATAATTTAACATAAAAGGTTTATAGCAAAGAATAGTAATTTTATAGCAATTTGAAAATTTGGTTTGCTGTCATTCAATGAAATGAAATTTGATCGCTTTCCGAGGTGAATGGACTAAATTTTGTGGTTATTTTGCATCAAGAAAACAAACTCTATAAACGAAAAATAAGTTTTTGTTTGTTTTTTTCAAGAAGTGTTTAGTCCAGTTTTAGTACAGTTTTCTAAGGTCGTTCTTCCAGAATTTACAGTCTTTCTAAAAGACATGCAGCTCCTCAATTTGGCTCATTTTGTTCCACGACCAGTTCATCGGCAGCCGGAAACTAAAGTCATCACTACCGCCCATTCCATAGCGTCCCCGCAGCGAACAGTGCACACCTGGTCGGCCTAGGCGCGAAAATAGCCCAGTGGGGGTGAGGCAATATGAAACCGACATTCAATGACACCCCCGCCACAACCCCCCACCAAGCACACCTAGCACGCAGACCAGCATGAATCTATTTTTTTTCACCGCGCCCTGCAAAGCCACCGAACGGATTTTAGTCATAATCCCGACAGTTAAAATGCCGACAGACAAAATGCCGACAGGAAATTATGTTAATCAAAAGTTCGACATGCCGTAAGCTAGTCTTAAGTTCGAAATTCAGTAAATCATTATCTAGATCCATACTAATAATTATATCTTTAATCTCTTTGCATTATGTACGTTAGTTTGAATTCCACTTCCCTTTAAACGTCTAATTTGCATTCTGGGATTTTTACTGTCGGGATTTTGTCGTTTCGCCTAAGCAAATACCTATAAACAATAAATAGACCTATAAAAAAATGTTCATTTTTACTTTTCAATACTAAACGCATTTTAACTTTCCGCTTGACGCTCCAATTCTTGATCTATTGGCCTGGAATTCACGATGGCGGCTAATTATTTTGCGACTCTAATCGGATTTCCCATTTTTTTCTCCGCAAACCCAATCGCTGCGTCCAAGGGAATGGCTGCGAATATTTTTGCGGGGCTTCCGGGCAAGAACTGGGGGCATTCCCGTCTAATGGACGTGTGTCTGCGGTTGTTTCCGATTCTGCTATTGATTTTCTTTTGATTTTTATTGTTGGGATTTTGATCTTTTATGAGCATAATAATTGTTTAGTTAACAGGAAATTTGGATATAAAAAGTTTAGAAAACGGGACTTTCTAGAAAAAGTTCTTATAAAGGTTACAAAAAGGTATTTTTTTTTTGCGTACATCTAGAGCTCGACGAGCTGTTTTCAGAGATGTATTTAGATAATTTTTGTTGGGCTATAATCAGCTCTGAGGTATTAATAAAGTTTATGCGACTTTTGATTCGTCGATAAGTCCGTAAACCACCTTTCTCAATTTAGGTTTCCGTAACTTAAAGATACCAAAAGACCCTAAAAACATGCACCAGGCATTGATAGTGTCTCAGTATATGCCAACATTTGTCCCTATCCTCCTTCCCTCCCTTCCCATGGGTCCCGGGAGTGTCGCAACCCATTAATCCAGGCGTCATCCCGATTCGCGAGAGATGTCGACGCGCTCCGCGTGCATCCCCTGCCATCTTTTTGGTACGGATCGGCGACTTCTGCGCCCCCGCCCCACGCCGCGCAACAAAGGGTGATGGGTGTCCCTTTTTGGCCCTCCCGGCCTCTTAAATCCCTAGGGCCCATTTCTTGGACCTTGGCCCTCCTCCTTTAGGCCACCCATCTCCTGCTCCTCTTTCTCCTTCACAACCTCAAGTCGATACCCAATCCTATATCTCTGCACCTCTTCACCCGCATTTTTGATTACTTGGAAAAATAAGCGGGAGCCGGAGAGGCCCTGGCGCCGACCTCCCTGAAAAGGGCCCATAAAAATGCGCGCTCTCGCCACGCCGGCCACTCCCTTCACTTTTTTGGTGCCCGGCCCAATCTCAAGGGATTTTCGGTTTAATCCAAAACTTCTTTGCTTCTTGTAACGTGGAACCGTGTCTAATAAAAGAAGTGCTGGAGTAGAATTTCAAAAATCAAACCCCGAGCCAAAGCCAAGCCCAAAAACTCCTTCAGCCTTTTTTGATGATGACTTGTGATGCTCGTCAAGGCCGCCCGTCCCTAGAGGCCCGGAAAAATTAATTTTAATCTCCATGATCGCCAGCGAATTCGAAAAAGAGAAAGCCTTGGGAACACGGAATTGATTTGCATTCGAATTCACTCGATGCTAAAATATTATTGAAAACCACTAACAATTCCATTATGAAACTTTGGTATTCCGGTATTTTGGACCTTTTCGGTATCTGCGACATCAGTTTTACAAATTCTCATTACAGATTACATAATGTCGGGTACATGGTCACGGAAGCGGAGGAGTGGAAACAATCGGGATAAGCCTATCATCGGTAGTAGCACTTCACAAGTTGCCACAATGATATTTTTAGGTGCTCCACAGCCAGCCACTTCTTCCAATTCGTGGGATCCATTACGGGAATATCAAATACTGCCACCACCGCTTCAAAAGCAACAACAGGTAATCAACATTACCAACATTCTCACAGCAATTGTCAATTTTTCCTTTTTACTTTACGATTTGCTAGCTCTAGACAATATTTGTCAACGAAAAGCGATGGGAGTAGCTGGGTCGAATTTTATGTTTGCCCCCCACCAAAAAGAGCGTTCCGTCGGAGGCTTTTTCTAACAAAATTTGGGTGGCAACAGCCGGGGGGGGGGGCTAGGGAGGCGGCGAATCTGGGGTGGCGGAGACCCTATTTCCGGCCGCATGGGCACACACTGAATCGCCACAATTTTTTGCTAGGGTATAGAAATCGGACGTTGACCCTAGTGGACGTCATTATAGAAGTTTTCCCTTGCTGTGAATTTATTTTTTTCCTACTTTGAATTCATTGCGTACTAGATCAACGTTCCAATTTTATTTCATGCATGACCCTGCAATATTTTAATTCCAGCCAGAATCCCGGAAACTATAATGCGGATATATTCTTGATGCTAGTTTAAAAACCACTTCTTTTTGAATGTGCTATTTTCCATGTTGGCGGTTTTCCTGTCGGGATTTTTGCTGTCGTGTTCTTGTCAGCTTGTCAAGATCCTGGCGTTTCCCCCAAAATGATCTTTACCTACCACAGTTTCAATTAATAAAATTCGCATAAAAAACCCAGCTTTTGATCCCACCCCTTCCTCCAGAAACCCCCAGGTGTAGATCCCTTTCAACCCTTCCCCACTCCACTATTTGCAACTTGCATGCAACAAGGACCCACAACCCCCCAAAACCACATCCCCTCGTTTCCGGCCCACTACGTTGCCCACTTTTTTGGGAGCCCTTCTCCTTCTTCTCGAGCTCTACCCTCCGCAAAGTATAGAAAACCTCAGGGACCCTGGGGGGCCCAGATTTATTCGCCCTCCCCACCAGGCGGTTGCCCTTCTTTTTCTCCATTTCCGTCTCGCGCGTCTCGCCGTCTAAAAAGGCCACAACTTTAGTTAGTCCCCGTTGAGTGGGTCGGCATGGCTGAAAGCCGCCATTTTGGTTACCCGCGTCTGTTTACGTGCAGACGCCTGAGCAGTGGCTTTTACCATTTTTTTTGGCAGGCCTTGATTAGCTGGGCGGTTTTCGGGGCGGATGGGTTGGGAAAGGGGGGGGATAGTGGTGCAATTTGGACCCTAGAGGCGTTCTTTAGGGGTTTTTTGGGGGGTTAAGGGGCTAGATGTTCTGGCAATATAGTATTTTTCGAAGGGCCAAGGCAATGGGTTTCATGGCCCACAAAGTAATGACTTATTTATGAATCGGAAATTCACCTGCAATACCGCGGGGCAAGAGATTGTTATAGTCCGTAAAAATTGATGCGAGTTCATTTTTCAAAAGTAATATGCTTTAGTTGATAGATTTTAGCAGCCTTGTCAGGTGCGCATTTGCTCATGGATCCAAGTAAACGTCGAAGCCGGGCAAATGCAAAATTCTATGAAAATTTTTGTCCAACTGACCTAAATGAACTCGAATTTAAAATCACGTTAATACTTAAAGTTTTCCACTTCCCTTCCCATTTTCAAAAACCCCGAAATAAAAAACTTCATTTGATTCCCACTCGGTAGTACTCCTCTCCTACTCTCGCCTACGACTTTTTCATTCTCTTCCGGGAGTTAGATTAGAAAGCACTCGGTAGAGGGGTGGGCAACAAGATTGGATGGGTGCAAGACAGGAGGGGATGTTGGGTGAAAGGGGGGTTGTGGGTCTCTATTATTAGATGTATGTATGTATGTGTGTGGTTGGAGGCAGATTGGGATGGCCATGTGTGGGACACGACCCTCAGCAAGGAGGAGAAGGAGGGCCTCTAATTGATCCTATCCTTCGACAACACCGCACACATCCACTACCCCCCATTTCCTGCATTTAGCTCATCCACTGGCGGAAGTAGATGATTTAGCGCATTTTAATAAAAAAAATAGTTTTTCTTTGATTTCTAAATATTATAATAAGCCAGGATCAATTAGTACTTCATTTGAAGGCGCAAAGCCCTGTTTTTGCTTCGGTTTCGAGAGCTTTCAAGGAAACATCGTAAAAATCTTTTATTTTTTTTACATAGGTTTTTGACTTCGTAGTTTTCTGAATAGCTGTTCTCATATCCCGAGACTTGACATAATCCATCCATCCCCTTCTCCCTCCTCTAAACCACTCTTTTTTGCAGCTCCTCTCCCGCTCGACCGACCGCATGTTTGATGAGGCCCAGGTCACCGGCATATTGAATTTGGCGGGCCGAAAGCTGAAAGAGTTCCCCCAGGGCCTCGCCAACAAATACGATATCACCGATGCTGTATCGGCTGGTGGGTGAAGGGAGAAATTCTTAATTTTGCTCTAGATATCAGCAACAATCGGTTGCTAGAGTTACCCGCCGGAATCTGCGAGTTGCGATCCCTTGAATCGCTGCGGGTGAAGGCAAATGTATTGCGAAGAGTGCCTTCTGATATTGCTCTCCTCGATAGGTTGACGTTTTTGGATTTTAGGTAAGTGCACGCTTAGCGCAGCAGAGTTTACAACCCCATTTTTAGCAACAATCATCTAACCACCCTGCCAACCGAACTCTTCGATCTACCCATCGAAATCCTAATCCTATCCGGAAATTGGTTTGAGCATATCCCGAGGGAAATTCGTCAGCTCTCCTGCACCCTATATGAATTGGTAATTCGCTGTGAATTAAAAATTTTAAAACTTCATTTAGGATATAAGCTGCAACAACCTGAAATCAATCCCATCTGAAGTTGCACTGCTGAAATGCCTGCGTATCCTGAACTTACGCAAGAATTGCTTGGACCAATTCCCTGCCGGTTAGTTAAAGTGAGATAACCTATTAAGTTTTTAGAACTATGTCGGCTGCCACTCCAGAATTTGGACCTCTCCAGCAACCAATTTACCCATCTTCCGCTCCAAATCTGCAAAATGAAGACGCTGGTTGAATTCCGTATTGAGGATAATCCATTGGTAGCTCCACCGGCAAAAATCGTATCAAAGGTGAGATTCAATAGAAAGGATTGAAAATGATGGTCTTTAGGGGCGACAACATATTTTCAAATGGATGGAGATTGAGAGTGGCGGTGGGCTTGGACCGAAGTATTCCTATGCTTCTGGCACGCTGAGGCCACATAATTATGGCAGAACGCACGCACCTAGGTTCGTTCTTATCCAAATAAACTAGATAATCATATTTCAGCTTGGATGACGCTACCCTACGAAGACAACCAATTGACACTTCATCCGTCTATAACGTCAAACAGCGTGTCCCAAAACAACCAACCACAATGGCACAAAGCCAAAGAAGCGATAGCGGATATGCCAGCACAATTGATGAACATCGTATCTCCAGCGAGGTACCGTATCCCCATTATTTCACGAATGCCTATGAATCTTTCACAGGCTTATTATATCTGATGCTCTCGTCAACAAGTATCAATATAACCCCGCGTCGACCGTATAAAAAGAAGTAAACACCCCCCGGTTTCTGTCCAAATTTTTTATATACTTAGCTATGCCAACCTTAGCCTCCCCCACTATCTGTTTCACGCGTTGACACCCGTCCCCCAATATTTCCCAAACAAACATTTTTTCGAATTCTTTATTGATCTACTTTTTGGTTAGGCGGGCACCTAGTGCATGGACACCGAGTTTTGAACTGAATTTTTCCGAATACCCAAGCTGCAAAGCAAAACTTGAACACCATTTTTAGTTGCCGTCTAGTGGACTGGAAAATATCAATGAGACTACCATCACCAGCAGGAAAGTTAATGGGTTTGCGGATAAATCCAAAGGTAAATAAAAATTAGCATTCTTGAACAACAACTATTCCAGGAAGCCCCACAAGCATGTCTTTGACATCTTCTGTCGATTCGAATTCCTCTACTTCAAGCCGTACACATCCACCGGCTCAACCCAAACTTCCAACTGCTCAGCCACCTAAAAAGACATCGGTATTACATTTACTTGAAAGCTAATTTAATTTTTTTAGCCGACTACAAAGCCTAACGAAGCGATCGCTACTACAAAAGCGGCCGACAAGAATGCAAATACCATCAATAACAATGTGCCGATGAAGACAACAACCATCGAGAGGAAAACGACAGAAATTATTAGAAAGAATTCGACCATCACCTCGAATACAACAAAGCCCGTCTCAAAAGTGGCTCCATTGATGAAGAAGCAAGAAAGTGATAATGGGAATATTATAAAGACAACTACAACTACCACAAAGGTTTGTGGTTTTTACGAATCTGCACGCCCTAGATTTTCTCCTCGAATATACGTAAATAAAGAAAATGTCCGCTTTTCCAGATAACACGCCCAGCCACAAAACCATTGGGCAGTGCTCGTGCGGTGCATCCTGCTCCTCAGCCTCAACCAGCCGTCAAAAAACCTGCAGCTCCTGCTCCAACAAGTTGGTTATGTTCCCCAAGTCTAATCTCCTTTTAGGACCCATCATACAATCCGCGCCGAGCCGAACAAATCTCTCGTCAACAGTGACTCGTCCTACTGTAAAGCCACCAACACCTCCAGTAGACACCAAAACATCCACCTCAACCCCGCCCCCACAAAAATCGGATGTGCTCGAAAATCTCAGAACAATCTTCAAGAGTCGGCTTGGTCTAGAGTAAGTTTTACCATTGTTTTTTAGAATTAGTATCACACTAACTATTTTTATCACTATTTTTTTAGTCTGAATCCAAAGCAAGATGAACTGGCGGCTCAACTTTGCGATGGCATCCATCTATGCAATTTTACGAATGCTCTGAAAGTTAAAGTTGTTGGTTCGGTCTACACTCCCACTGACGATAAGGTAATTTAATAGTTGCAAAACCGAAAAACAAATGGGATCTACGGTAAATTATATATATATATATCAATAACTTCAGCCGCTTCCTTCTCCAAAAGCCAAGCGGAATGTTGAAAACTTCATCATTGCTTGTCGAAAATTGGGTGTTCCAGAGGTAAATTTAATTAAAAAAAAAACTAAAACGCCATTCCATAGTCTTACATCTGCTCGGCGGCTGATATCACCTCAAAGAAAAATCTGCAAATGACAGCCAAAACGATCCTCGTGCTGAACAAAAAATATCCAGTTTAAACGATCAGTTAATTCCCCCCACATTTACTGCTTTAATCCATGAATTCTTGTGATCTCACCTGATTTTTAGGCAATTCCCCACCATGCAAATCTCTATTCCTTCCTTCCCACTCGATCCGGTTAATTCTCTGCGTACAGCTACTGTTTAGTGTTATGGGTGCGTGCAACGCCAACTGTCTCTACTTGTAAACCGCTCATTTAGGGCAATGTTTCTTTTCGAATAAAAATTTAATAACTGCTTTTTGCTGCGTTTATGCCACAGAAGGGGGATTTTTGCTGTTAAAATGCAAACACACAAAAATCCGCATCGTAATCAAAAAATCTCTTATTTTTATTGATCTGGAAAGCATAGTTTTCTCAGATAAATCAGCTTGCAGAAGCCTCAAACCGAACCCTACCTAATTCAATCACCTAATTTTGCCTCCCAATTGTCTCTTTTTCCAAGAAAGCCACATAAAAGACCCTTCAAAATGCTAATTTCCTATATGCGAACCACAGCGGCCCAGCGAATCTCATTTCCACCAGCCTTCCCATACAGCGCTGTAAAACGAAGATGCGCAAAGAGTCTATGTTCCTCGTCATCATTGTGCTTTTCGCATTTGGAGCTATGATACTGTATGTTCTTCATTTTAAAAAAGACCAACTGTGGTTTTGTAGCCATGCCATCGAAGTATTTTTGGCGACTAGTCATGTCAAGACAAATGGACAGCAATTCCACCCGAAATATTTGTAGGTTTCAATTTATATTCCAACAACCTTTCTTTCAATCTATTCGTAATTAAATTTTAGGCGCTTTGAGATCACTATGAATTAATTTATTTTAGGAACATCACAGCTATAATTGCCAACCGCGCAAAAGCGCTGCAGGCCGAGTGAGCAATTCAATTCTCTGCTATGTCGTCTGGAAATGTTGGGCACGTAGTCTTCACCAATAAATGTATTATTCAATCAAAAATCAATTAGCATATCAAATACATTGTGACGCATTCAGGCATCGTTGGGCTTGCGCTCGGTGAACGAGAACTCGTCGTGGTAGAGCTTGATCTTTCCACTGTCGCGAATCCAGATCTGAAAATAATCAATAAAAGGGGTGCGATGTCTAAAAACCTGAAGATATGGGCCGGTAAGGGTCTCGTTTCCATTGTTGAGGGTCCAGATGTTACGGTAGAGGAAGACATCACCACCTCCAGAGAAACGCTCGTTGGTCGTCTATAGTAAAAAAATTGGAATTCCAGTGAATTTAAGCTATAAAATCCTAATTTCTAATATTAATGCATACCACGGTCTGCGAATCTCCTAGGGCCTCACGGTTGGCTTTGATGGTCTTGACAATGACTGAAAAATAAAAAGTAAAAAGTAATTTCTACTAATTTTTCTTTACAAATAACGGCAAATCGCATCACAAACTCTATTTTTACCTTCCGGTGTATGGTGGAGGGTCTTGCCGCTGTCGATGAGCAACGCCTCGGGGTGGTAATAGGCGGCCACTTCATCCCACCTTAAAAAGTAAATTTGATTGTTTGTTAAAGGCTGACTTTTTGTCGTAGACGGCCTTCTTGTAACCATCGACGTATGGGCGGAGTACCTTTTCCGCTACTGAAAATAGATTAAAACGGTTATTTTTGGAGGATGCTCGATCGTATGGGACAGTAAAAGCTGGTAGGGATCGATCCTGCGTAGTGTTCTACCATTATTTCATCACAGGGCCCCCTATTTGATTTCTGGCCCCACAACCTGGGTGAGCCAAGATGTGTTACACCCCAGGGCCAGCAATAAATTTCACGATTGTGGTCAATTCCCGGGTGGTGGCTGAAATCTCGGGATGTTGAAATGGCCTTCGAAATCGACAAAGGCTGGCGAGATGCAAGATTGAGTTGCACAGCGAGCACTTTTTGTGTGTATCTCCGTTCAAGCAGCTGAGATGATTGATTGGGGGGAGTGGATTTCACAGGGGAACGGTGATGATAAACGTTTTTGGTCGGAACGGACAGTAGAACTGTTCGAGGTAAATGGGTTTGAGTTAATCGATCGATTAGAAGAGGGCTAGGTATTGATTTAAACAACACTAAAGGGTTGATTCTCTACCACGATACTTTTTCCACCCGACAAAATCAGCGCAATGCTCGGCTTCGGGTTTGCTCTAAATGGATCGTATGAGCTTGATGGTTTCCACACACCGGTATGTTTTTGCTGCCTTTGCGCACCACATAGCCCTTATCAACACCTATGCGCACGAATGAAAAGTGATTTTTGGCGGGAAACGGCACTAACAGCCGCAAGTTCAATTCTTGCCGCCAGCAAAACATTGTTTGTTCCTCATATTTTTTTAGACTCAGTAACCTTGATAATACATATCTAACCATACTAAAACCTACGCTTTTCGAGCTCAAAATCTTCCTTCGTCTTAGAATCATCAGCATCAGTCTTCAGATCCGATTGAATGGAGATCGAGAAGCATAGAGCAAGAGCGAACACCTTCAGCATCCTTCCACTTCGTGTTCTGTTCGAGAAATGGCCACCACCGTCCCGTCCAAAATGACCAAACATACGATCAGATCATTGGGCGGGCTCGAAAGGACCGCCCTTCCTGCTCCTTTTTCTTTTGCCTCAACCTCCTCCTCCTTTTCCACCCGACCCCCCAATTTTTCTCCCAGCTTATCAGGGTCAGTGGCCAAAAAAGTCGACGGATATCCGCGCATCGGTCATCTCCACCGTGTTGTGATCGGCCATTGCCTGGGTTTTGTAAAAAGCTTTTGAAACGTTGGGTGGTACGATGGGGGTACTGCAACGGCAGCAAACTATTTTGACCTGATCCCAGACAGAACGCGACCGAAAATTGTGTTCTCGACGACGTGGAATGGGTCGGGAGGGTGGAAAAACGGTCGGTACCAAAATGAGATCTCAAGGCCGATAGGGAGACATTCATTTTGAGTGCTTTTGAAAGGGGTTTGTTGAGATATTGAAAGTGACCACTGTCTGCCATAGAGCGAACTGAACGGGGATATTGGGTTCGGGAGCGCCTTTTGTTGTTGTTGTTGTTTAGGTGAAGGGATTGGTTTTATGCTAGTTATCGTTTGACAAGGAATCATTGGCGAAATACAAATTTTTACTACAATACAAATTTATTCGATATAAATAATAATTGAAAAATTCTAATCATCTTTATGGCGTTGCGCGTAAATCACTCCAAACATTGACAAAAGTGACAGCAGCATCAGTAGACCTACAAATCCCTATAGCTAGGACAAAAGAGCTTACCTCCAAGTCCCACCACCGAATAGCAGATAATTTTGTAAAGCTTGACTTGATTGATCAAATCACTCTTAATGTCATGCACCGTTCCTTGGTCGGCATAGAATGATTCGTTTAGCCAATAGATTGGGTACGCACCAGGCATAAATACGCTCATCGTACTGTAACATCACCATTAACGAATTCGATACCCAACGACCTGATATTCGGGAACTGATTAGCCATGACATTAATTTGCATCCTTTTGTGTGCCATCAAAATCGTCCCGGTTTGCTAAATAAATGCTTCAAATGAATGAAATATATTGTTACAGGTTCCACATCCATAATAATATTATCATCCTCGCTGGCCTTTGATCGAAGCCTTGGTACAAAATTCCGGACGATATCGGAAGCCTGGTAGAAGTGCGGCTTTGAAATGGCAATCGGAGCGCCTAGAAATGTTCGTTTTTATTTGCTACTTTTCGCACCATCTTGGCATCCGCTGAGGTCCATAATTCCGTCCGGGTAGCATGCGTCACCGGCGTTCTTATCGTAAAAATCGTACTGCAACGGGAAGCAGAAGCCACAGTTTTCACGGGGTCTGACAGGTGGGTGAAAATTGCGATTAAGAAGTGAGGCTTACCCCCAATTGAACTCGGTAGCTGGTAGTTCAAAACGGTAGCAGTCGATACCTTCGTAGGTACATTTTTTCTGATAGGTCATGTCGATTGATCTGAAAGAGGGGTATTTCAGAGTTTTAACGTCAAAAATAAATACAGATTTTTTTAATGTTATTAACCTGCAGATAGAATCAACATAAATTGGCACGACATCGGTTGTTTTTAGAAATGATGGGAAGAAGTCGCCAGCTGTAAAAATTTTCTAAATAACTTCTAGAGCCCTCTTACTATTTCCACGGATCGTTCGGGCATGCAAGCTGGCTTGGATGTCGCCACCGCAGTCTGACCACCTGAATCGAAACTTCTATTCTTATTCTGGCGCATTAAAATTAAATTAGAAAACAATTGTCATACCATGCAGCCGGTAACAAGGTGCCATTGGTGATCCACGGTTGAGACTCGTTATACTGATTCTCCATCGTAAAACTCTGGATAAATCCGACGCGCTGGTAGTCACCTTTGCCCGTCAAGATGGTGTAATGCGGACTGGTGTAGTTCAACGTTTGCTAAAATTACAAATATAGATTAGCTGTATTCCTCGTCATTTCCTACTTGGGAATTTTATTTGGTATCTGCAACATGTCAGGCCCAAAAATAGACCTTTAACCTTTGTGAATAGGGCCCGGCTCGCGCCCATAAAAGAGTCATAATATTGACATTATTCTGGGTAGCATGCGTCAACTTACTCCATAGCTGACATTCTGCGGACTCGAAACAACGCATTGACTTGGAGGAGTCAGCAGTAATAAACAAATAAAATCGGCAACGTTTTGGATGAATCTGGTGTAAAATGGTGGTTCATAGCCAGAGATCAGCAATTTATCGATTGTCTAAATTGGGGGTAATTGGGATACAACCATACATCAAAACTTACCACTTCGATGAATGGTCCGGCCTTGAATGCAGCCAATGCGTCATCGATTAATGATAGAATTACCGTTTCATATTCTTCTTCGATTACTGCAATGCTTAGTGGGTTTTGTGAGCATTATAAAAACTAACATTCACAAGGAAGAGTCGGGAATAGCTGTTGGCAAAGAGCCCCCAATGGCAATTCAGTCAGTGTTTGCATGGCCACCTATAAGCCCAAATTCACCCCGCATACTTACGACTCCACTTACAAAATAGCTAACATCCGGAACGAGAACTTTATCGACCAACGGGTCACACCCCAAACACGATTGGGTCGGATCGAACACATATTTTATGTGCTAAAACAGATTCATATCCAAAATATCTATTCAAAACCTGAGTATAGGTAAGCATCCTATCGTCGTCCTGCATACCGTCAATATCATTTGTAGTTGTTTCCCTAAACACTACATAAATAACATGAGAAAATTAACACACACATAAGTATACGGGCCCTTTTCGTCCATATCGGGTAGTTGGCCGCGGTTTATGATGGAAATTGGGTTCTTGTAGTCGTACACCCAATACTGGATCCTCGAAATGTATTTCGGGTTTGCCCAATCTTTTGTGTAATCGTTGTACGTTCCATTTTTATATTTGATAAGTTGCTTTTGCTGTAATGAAGTAAATTATAACACTGAATAACTAGGGGCCACACCTCTTTAATGGTCTTTTTCGTTTGATCTGGCACTACTTTTAGCACGACGACCAGGCCAGCAATTATCAAAAGGACACCGATCACGAACGTCACAACCGAGGCGGCACCGCATGCAAAGCGGACCGTTTTACCCATCCTAAAAATGAGAAATGAAAGTGGAAAACTCAGTAATTATGCCAAAATCAATAAATGGGCACCGCTATCAAATGGGCGAGTCGGGAAACCAAAGAATTCCATGGCTTATCTTCGCGTTGTTCTGCTCTCCAACAAGGCAACCCAATCTCCGAATAAATTCTGGAATGCAGGTGTTAGTTTATTGGGTTTTTGATTGGGGAAGGGTTTGGCAATGGATTTAGCTCGGTCCTAAAATAGGTAAGATCTAAATCCTATCCTATAAGAGAGAAAAGTATGTGTGTTTTCTGGCGCCGGTTTTCTCGGCCGTTAAGGCGGATTTGGCGGGGTTTCGGGAGGAGGCAAAACACATTGCCAGAAACGCATTTTTGTTTTTCGAAACCCTATTTTTCATTTAAAACAACAACCCAAGCAAAATGGGGCCGAGCCAAAAAAAAACGACGGACCGTTGTGTCCCGCCCCAAACCAAGCCCCTGTTGAGTTACGGGCTGAAATCTGGACCACTTATGTATTCGATAGTGGGGATCACGCGCATCTTATTATTTTTACAAATTTTTTTTCGGCATTCCAACCAAAAAAGAGAGAATTGTAAAGTTAGCAAAATCACCCCCCCGGTCCCAGCGGCCCCCAGGGAAGAAGAGGCCTTTCCCCGCCCGCCCCCATGGCCCCTTGGTGGCTTGACGCCCGGTCAGAAACATAGGGGACCTGGCGGAAACTTTTGCTTTTGGTGGTTCATCAACAGAACGCCCTGGGTCTAGGCCTGGTCGCCCCAGCAAAAATCCCTCCCGCTCCATCATAATGTCCTCATAATATCTTAGCTTGTTAAAATCCATAGTTCAGTTCGGATGCTTAAATCCACTCCAAAAATATAGCTGATTATTTCGTTTCTGTTTAATTTGATTAAACCTACTTTAATCCCGTTTCGAAGACAAGTTTTTCAAAGGTTTGCTGTCTCAAATTTAATCCGCCCATTTAACGTAACGGTCTCTAAACTCTCAAAAACCTTCACGGCTTGCCCTTTCTCCACAACTGTTGTCCAAACAGCACCGTATTTGTATAACTGTAGTAACGCTTTATCACCCGTCTCCAAATTGACATCACTGAAGACCGAACACGCCCCTCCATGGCTGCAATATGCCAGCCAGCTGACTAATCACCCCCCCCTCCCCCAGCTTGGCTTAATTTTAAAATATTGTACACATCCTTATCACCTCACTCCCCACCGTCCCAAATACCTAAATCGGTCAAGCCTTTGAAACGTGGACAGAGAAAAATACCGTGTAAAAGGGAGGGAACAGACCAGGTGGGTGACCGAGGGAAACCGTATTATGAAAAAAAGCGGCTGCACGTGCCGCGTTGAACAAACAAATAGAGGGTGGGGGAGTGTTTTGCCCATCATGCCGAAGCAGTACATAAGGCTGCTGAAGTGGCCAGATGAACAGATTTCGTGTTGCGAAACTAAACCCAGTATTCAAATCTATTCAACGATGGCCTTTGTTCCGTTCGACTATTTGCAGCCGGGATGGCCGATGGCAAGCACTTGGTGAGATTTTCATCAAGCTTGGCTTAGACTTTCTACGCTAATTCGCACTTAATTATGACAAAAGCTTATTTTCAGTTGTGAATAATCTTAATTTTCTTCAGGATTGTCCCTCAAATGAAAGATGCGCCGGATATGCACTACCATGAAGTACACAAGGCCCATGTTGGAAAGGGAAATGTAAGAAACTACACAAAGAATAGCGTGGCCGTGTGCAATAGCAAAATTTTATTCGACTATTATTATCATTATATTTTTAAGGTCACCGAAACCCCTCGCCGATATTCGGTTTCTCTTGACGTGCATGAATTCGCTCCATCTGAATTGGAGGTAGCAAGCCTTCTTAGAACCATTTTAATTGTTGATTTTCAGGTAAAAACCGAGGGCCGCAAGGTTGTCGTCAAGGGGACACATCTTGAAGCCGAAGACAAATATGGCCGTGTGACAAAGTGGGCTCAAGATCCCCAAAGATTATCAGATTCCTAGGAATTCAAACGAAAATACAAGCTACCGAGGAGCTGCGAGCTAGAATCCATTGAATCCCACATAAACCCAGAAGGCGTGCTGATGATTGAGACAAAGAAGAGGGATCGATCGGTAATAACTACTAATAATTAGTGTATTTAACGATTGAGTAACCGAAAGCTAAGCTAATTCATAATTTTAGAACTCCACCAACGTCCCTATCATTCGCGAAACTCGCACTCAAGGAAGGATAATCGAACACTTCTAATTTTTCTGAAACCCATTGATTCGCCAATTCTGTGTAAATTGTAAATAAATTCTTTCAATACAACTAGTCAAACGGTTTATAATGTATATTTCATAAATAAGCGAAGAGCTAAAGCTTGAGCCGAGCAATCCAGAGAAAGTAAGGCTGCGCACCATCGACCAGATTTTGAAATTCATGCACGATCTTTTTACCCGGGCACTCTAAAGAAGGCTTAAATAGGGGGGAAGGCAATATGGTTGATTCAGAAGCAAGGCAAATAAATTAGCAAATATCGGAGACGGTGGTGACAAGCTTTCCGTTCTGGAAGACGGTCTTGAACTGCTCGGGGACGGGGAGCTCGATGAAATCGCCATCGGGACCAGGGACCAGAACGTTCATTTCGGAGCTCTGAAAATAACAATGGATGAATTTTCAGTGGCCATTTGAAACTTGGTAACTAAAGCTGTATTAAGGGTTCGAAGCTTACCTTTGAAGTGACGATCTCGGCACCCTTCGACGCCTCCGACAAATAGATCTGGCATCCATCAGTCTTCTGCACCGAAACCGTAGGCATCTCACCCATCGTCTAAAAATTTATCTTTATTTATTAACACTTTCTTCTAACCTGGATTTGCAGCGATTGACAATTGATGGTCTCGACCTGGGCCACAATGGCGTCGAACACGATGGCCACCTTCTTACACTGATCCAGTGTCACTGAGTTGCACTTGCCGGCCACCCTAGATGATTATTCATATAAAAAAAATTGAGCCCATACTTGATCGTAGCATTTTCACACTTGAAGACGTAGACGGTCTGTTTTTGTCCGTCACGTTGACAACCACTGGCTCGGAGGTACCCTTGTAGTATTCCTAAAACATTTGAATAATTTCTAAAGTCTGTACGACTCAGAAATTCAATAAATCAACTTCATTTGAATGGCTTACCACATTCCATTGCTTGCCATCCTGGAGCTCCATCTTAGGCGGCTTCTGGACAGCAGGGGCTGGTCGAGCCGCCGGTCCACCCGGAACCGGGGAGGCGCATTCTTGGCGGGCACGGTGCTCTAAAGCAAAAGATATTTGTCTAGGTAGAAGCACATACAGTCGCGCGAAGTTCGGGATTCTTGTGGGTCTGCATATCGGATGTGACCTTCCTGAGGCTGGACGTGATGCCCTCTCCTGATTCAGCGCCGCAAACAAAGCATCGCGCTTCGTGCGCTCGGCATCACCAGTGCTGGCGGCCGGGGCAAAAAGGTCTGAAATAATCGATAAAGTTGATATTCTAGCAGTAATAGTCTAAATTTTGCCTCAAGTACCCACCGGTAGGCATTGGCGGCGGTGGCGGAGGAGGAGGTTCCACCAGGGACAGGTGGATGAGCAGAAGCAGAAGCCGTTGGGGCGGTCGAGGTTGGGGGCGTGTAAGGTCCCTATAAACAAAAACTGACAAAATAATCATAAAGCTTACCGGTGCGGAGTTCCACACAAGTCCGGTGGTGTGCACCTTCCGGATGAATTCATTAAGGTTAGTCATCAGACCCTCAAGGGCATTCACCCATTCGATGTGGTTTTCGTTCGTTTTCTGGAATTGAAAAGTTAATGTAATCGGTTTGGGATTATCCACCTTGTAGGCGAGGCGAATGCGGTTCGTGTAGAACTTCGCGGCTTCAAGGATTTCCTTGACCAACGGGGCCGGCTTGGGCTTCTGAAATAAAGCAATGAGGTTGTCCCTGAGCTTCGAGACGGTATAATTTCGCTATAATTAAAAATGGTACCTCCTTCACCCATCCGACCGCAGCGCTAGCCTCAGCGAGGGCATTAAAGTGGTTGACAAGATCATTGTTGCGATTCCTATCCTTGAGCCCGTGGATTTCTTGGACGGCTTGCTAAATTGAAATTCAAATTAGTAACTTGTGAAGAAACCAACAATAAGTTTCTGCATAGGGATCGACTTGTCGATGCCGGCCGCGTCCAGCTCCTTGTTGCGTGCGGCAAAGAACAGAAACTCGCGCTGGCGATCGAACAATGCTTTATAAGCATTTGCCTAAAAATTTTTATTGGTTTATTCCCACAGAAAGAGAATTATCATAGTTTGCAACAACGCACCACGGCAGCTAGATCTCCGCCGATCACCGATGAAACGGTGACGAACTTGTGCAGATTCTCGGAGATGGCGTCATCGTAATCTTGCACATGCTTCGGCTCACCGGAATCCGAACCAGCGCTTCCGGAATCACCTATAATTTATGGATTAAAACCGCTAAAAGCTTCTTTGTTGCTACAATTAGTTTTGAGTTAGTTTTCCCATAGCACCTCCACCATACCCCGGTAACCATTTGTTCCATCCGAATGATAAATAGAAAGTTCCGCATCAGCCTGCTTCAACTGATTTTGTCGAATCGATTCTTCATCATTGTCGTCAACATCAAAGACCACTTTTTTGCTAGCTTTATTGCCCTCCAGCTTATTCCCCTTAACGAGAATGCTATGTGGTCTGGGAGCACGACCCTGTTTCCAAGGCGGGGATGGTGATCGATAATGCTGGCGAGCAAGATTTCTGGCCCTCATCTCTTCTTCTTGATTGTCGTATACAGATCCAATGGGTGAAGCTGACATTTGTGCCGGTGAACGTATTCTTTCTTCTGTTGGTGAAGAAAGAGCCTTCGGCATTGGAGGAGCAGCTTCACGGCGTGGAGTCTCATTTTGTAATTGTGCCGATTCATAGTAAGCATTGCTGATGGACGGGGATAGTTTGACGATTGAGTTGTGAACTATCGGCTTTTCAAGTACAGGTTGAATTGGTTGTACCGGTTGTACGATTGTAGCTTGAGGAGAGAAGGGACGCGACACGATTGCGAATGATCGGTTCAGACTGCTGTTTAACGCAGGCGGTTGCTGACCAGATTTATTGTTGTAATACCCAAGTTCGGTAACAGTCCCCAACGCGACAGCTCGATTTCGTTGTGGCCCTTCTACTTGTTGTGGTAGAGGGTCTTCAGGAGGAGCTGGCAAATTATATACGCGCTGGAAATCAGCTGGGAGAACGGGCTGAAGATTTCGAGCAATAACAGGAGGATGCCGAATGGTTGGTGATTGATCATTGGAAGCTGGGAAGGATACCATTTCAGAGTATCCATTTGTCCGGTCGGGTTGATTCTGAGCATGATGGATCGGAACCTGCGGCCCAATATAGTTGACTGGAGGTGGTGGAATCGGTGGTGGAAGATTTACAGGCTCCGGAGATCGCACCCATTCTTGCCTATGGTAGTCGTTATATCTGGACCCAATCGGAGGTGGAGAAAATGCATTCCGCTCGAACTGACGATTAGGTGTAAAATTCAGCTGCGGCGTCGAATGGAACATTCTGTTCTCATGGTGATAACTAGGCTCTTGTCGAAATTGCTGATGCGCGAAGTCGTTATGGAAATTTTGGTGTACCGGGGAAATTAGGGCTTGTGCCTGGTTATTTCCATAGTTGTTGTTGTTTTCTGGGACACTTATCCGAATCGGGACAGTCCTAGCTTGGACAGGTTGTTGCACTTGTGATTGGCCGAAATAATTATCATTAGCTGATGGAAAGTGTCTGGCTGATTGGTTTTGAATATTGGCCCTAGCAGGGTGCCGCCCAAAATTAACAGAATTGCCGAGATCTTGAAATACGTAAGAGTCAGAACGGGTTTTGTGCAAGGCACGGTTGTAAGCTCTTTCAAGAGTGGATCCATCATCTAGCTGTGAGAGAATGGGTGAATGAATTTCGTTGGCTTTGTATTCCCATGGATCAAAATCTTCGTGATAAGATTGGTTGGCTGGGAAAGCGCGCTGAATTTGAATCGGACGATTTGGTACCGATTCGTGATAGCTAGCTGATTGATAAGGAGCAACAAGCGACTCAGCCTGAAGTCGTTGTTGTTTTAGGCGTTGTAGAAAGTCCTCTTCCCGGGTAGCCAAAGGGGATCCAGGTGGGTCATAGTCATAGCTATTCGAATGGTATCGATCAGGGCTGGCAATACCCTGCCGAAAGGAATCACCAGGGAAATAGACACGACCAGATGTAGGTGGATGACGGCTCATGTTCTGAGGAGATTGAGCCCGAGACGATAGTTGACTATCGACAGAGAATTGATCGAAGGTTCGAGGGGAGGAGGGGCCCCCAGTTGGTGAGTGAACGGGATGGCGGCTGGCCCTGTCGAGTAAAGTAGACCCGGAAGGAGGGCCACGGCCCGAAAAAGAAGCCCCCTGCAGCTGAGGTGACCAACTCGGATCGGGTACTCGAGGCTAGTGATGCTAGTTCGTCGTCCAATTCTCCCGTATTTAGGGCATTCAGGCTACCGTATCCATTTAAGGGTCGGGATTCGACATATGTTAGGGAACGGTAGCTACGAGGGAATCGGGAGAACGGCCTTGGGGTATAAATCGTGCGCTCCATCGTGTCCACCAAGTTCAGCTCAACTTTTGGGCATGCCTAAAACTCATAGAGAGTTTGAAACTCAAATGGGAAAATGGAATCAGAAGAAAGCTTAAGTTCCCAAAAATCTACGCGAGAAATCTCATGGAGAAGGTTTTTCCGCAATTTCGATTTTTTTTATCGCACCGAATTTCACGAAGTTATAGTAACGTAAACCTTTAGCGTAAACTATTTTCGCATGGCTACTTTTGATAACAAAATCTAAAATAAATAAAAAATAAAAAAGGTAAATTTAGAACCGGTTTAATAAAAAAGCCAAGCCAATTTATTAATAAGTTTAGCAGCCAAAAAAATTTAATAACCCCATTGATTGCGCAATACCATAACCCGCCCTCTCCGCTAATTCAAAACCCATAAACGCGCAAATGTTTTGACAACTCATTAGAGGTTTTCAGCGATCCGGTAACCAGTAAAAAAAGTGGGACATGTGTCGTGCGGGGAGGGAGACCGGTATAAAAAAGGAAGGGAGGGGGAAGAAACAAGGTGTGGAGGGGCAGTCAGAGGTCCAGGATCTGGCTCGCAAGCAGTTCACAACAGATTGCCGACAGCTGTGTGGGATGGACGGCCGGAGGGTCTCTGGCTAGTCCGGGGCCATACGCTGTGTACGATGTTGAAACGAGTAGATGTTTTAGCACCCAATCTTTGGGGGAACGATAATTTTGGTTCGTTTACGAGTGTGGAGGGGAGAGATTTGGATAGGGAAGAATAGGCGGAGAGTCCAAGGCGTGATTGCAAGCTCCTTTTAATGTAGATCAGGTATCATAGTTTCTTTATTTTAAGCTAGGACCCCTATCTTCTTAAAGGGATAAGGAAGGCCCACGTAGATCAGGGCTCATCTACAATTGGCAAGTTGCCAACCTGAAATGCTAATTCAAGATACGGGGTAGAGCGTGGGCCTAGGCGACGGAGCAGAGACAATTTATGCTAATTTTGAAGTTAAAACCGACCTTATGCCTAATTTATCCGGGCTTCCCTGACTCCTTTAATAAGCTATAATTCGCCATTTACATGTACATTGGATTTAGATTATTTTTCGTTTGTCCGAAATGGATAAAATTCTCTGCTTTCAACAATTTCCATCGGTTTTTCCAGCTAGAAAACCATTAAAACGCTTTAATATTACGAAAACTCATAACCAGACTTTTAGTAACTTCCTCTGAATCATCAACACACTTTTTTCCAAGTTTTTCGCAAAATTCTATATTTTCGATCTAGCTATTTTTTGAATAGAAAGGAAGTTGTAATAAAGGGCGTATGCTAAAGAAAATACAGTCCCAAAAAATTACCATTGACAATATGCACAGTCACGTTAGCATTGCCCGAACTAGCCGCAGAAACGTCATAATTTTTCGATTTCTTGAAGTGCTGTATCTGGACTCGGACGAATGATGCAATCTTCGAAGTGCGAGATTTCTTCTTTGGAGTTGATGCCGTATCAGTAGACGACATTTTCAGAAGCAGCTGGTGGTGGCTGGTGAATCGACCACCTCACCGTCCCCCCGCGGTTGCTCTTTGTTTTGGGGTGGCGAAGCACAATAATGGCGGGGGCCCACCGAATTCCTTTTGACTCGCCACGATGACGAGGGGAATCGTAATAAAAACTTTGGCGTAGATGGGGGTTGGTGGAGGGCGGAACGTAGAAACTGACGGAATTGTTTTTGACTGCGGAAGCTATGTCCGGACGCCCTACACATGGCAAATTTCATGGTGTAATAGGTTAGGTTTTGTCAAGAAAGGATTTAGGTTTAGGTATTGAATAGGATTTTAGGTTTTTGATAGTGTGTCCGGTTGGTGGAAGGGAATTATATAGCGTTATCTAACTACGTTGAGAAAGAGACATATCGGATCGATTGAGATTTAGCTATCTTCTTAGCGTAACCAGATATATATCTTTGCATCAAAAAACGGAAGTGGTTATTGCGTTAGAAAAACGAAAATTTATAAAACGTACCTGCGAGAGCAGCGGGCTTCGGCGGCGCCACCGGCTTCGACGATGACAAAGCCTCCAAGCGCGTGACCGCCTTCTCAAAACGCTCCACAAGAGGGCCTAGCTGAGCACTATCCATACTCCGCTAAAGAAAAAATATATTTATCCATAAAAAATTATTGAACCAAACACCAAAGCAAGAAACTAAAGATCTCAAACAGCACGAAAAACACCAAGGACTTACATTAGCCAGCCCTTGCTCAATACTAGATCTTAAATCGAGCACCAGCTCCTCAGTGTCGAGCTGATCATCATTTTTAGCGCGCGGCCAGCAACAAGGCATCGTTGTTTGGGCAAAAATAAAGTGGGAGCCAGCATGTGGTGGGCGATGTTTGGGGGCGCTGGTCCGCAGATTGAGATTTACATTATTCATTACACCCCATACGGATCTAAGATCCGCACCCTATGCAGCCCTTGTCAAAAGTAGGGGATTTTCTAAGCGGGAGTAGCTATTTATATTAAATTTGAGTCAAGGACGAAGATGACAAACAATATTTTATATTTTTTACAGGTAGGTTTTTTAAATGGACCTGTTATTGTACAAAGAATTCTGTTTGTAAGCCTCCATTAATTATGACTCATCGGCAGCAAAGAGGGGGTATTCACGTGAGGGGAAGAAGGATGACGATATCGAAACCAGATGGAGACACGTGAACCTAGACGATCCGGATTTCAAACAAATAGCGAAAAATTGTTATGTTAAGGGTCAAATATTTAGTATCCGTTAGGAGCGCAGATTTGAGGGACTAGGAAAGCAACGATCAAGTGACTGGACTTTTCGGGAAAAGACAAATTGGTGCATACCTTATAAAAGTGATTATGCTGAAATTAAAGTTTGGCTAGATTCTACTTCATGCAGCGGTAAACTAACGAGTCAAAATATGGTCGATGAAAATCAACCAATCTGGCTTTCAAAACCCTTTAATACTCTACATCTCCATCGTAAACTATCCATTATCTACCACATTTGTACTGATATAGGATCGGGGAGCTTTAGAAAACCGAGAAAAACAAATTTAGAGAAGTTATAGGAAGGATAATAACATAAAAGAAGCTGATCATGGAAATCACGCAATATTGGAAATGTAGGAGAAACCCAAAGGAAATTCGGTCTTGCTGTGTTTAATAGTAAATATCTATGAGGTAGTCAAAAAGGAATCGATTCGACGAATCGCCCCAACACAGCGATGAGAAATTTCAAAAACATGGCTGCGTCATGCCGAGGCAGTGGCTTTTTCGGGTAGCTCCCGATGGTTTGGGGGTGGCCAATAGGGAGGGACAGCTGACGCCACGGAAAATCGGTTGACCAAAAAACCCGAATAGGTAAACAAGAAAAACAATGGGTCTTTTTTGACTGAAAATGGCGGTTTTGTAACAATCTGAATGACTGTAATGGAAACAGTCAGCCAGATTTGAGAGGGTGAGTAATCAGTACGCTCCTATCGACAGCACCGGGAATCGGGACTATATGAAATTTCGGTTGGACTGTATTTTAGCATCGTAAAAATATGGAAATAATTGTAGTGTAAGGAGAAAGAGTGTATCGTTCGAGAGGTCAAGGGGTAGGGGGTCCTCTGAGCAATTGGGACTTGACCGATCGATATTCGGAGAGGCCAGAGGTCTACACACCACCTGCTTACCCAGTTGACCATAGGGTCCTCCCCCCCCCCTCACCATGCCCAATTTATGGCTTAACCGGCTGGAAATACGGGTTTAAAAAGGGAGAAGACGACGCTGTAAATCCATTGAACTCTCTGCGGAAGTTTTCGCAAGTCCCGAGAAAACTGGACAGCTAAAGAGACAGAGAGAGAGAGAGAGAGAGAGAGAGAGAGACAGGAAATAAATATTTTTGATAGGTTAGTCAAATTTATATGGATAATGTAATTTTTAGCTAAAATTGCGTTAATTTTC